TTCGGTCCGGCCCAGATGCAGGTTCTTCAAGATTCCTAGACTACACCCGGAGGGTAGTAGTCTGGACTACACCCGTTGGGTAGTAGTCAAAGCAAAAGTGGAAGTATTTCCATTTGAGAATTGGATAAATAGGGATGCATGAAATTCTCACACGCACTCCCCCTATGTGATCAGTTCCACTGACCACATATTCAGCTCAAGCCCTCTAAACAAGTCTATCATCTGCAGTGCAGCAAATCGCACATGGATTGAAGGCCCGAAGTGGACCATTGGATCCCGCATCACGACAATGCTCATAATCAACATGAAGTGCATATCCATGTGAGATCGCATACAGCCTATGTTGGGAAACGTCTGACTGTGGGCCACATCTGTGACATCGTGGCGTCAGACAAACCTCCTTGGCATGTCTAAGACCATGGCATTCACGGTCACAGTGGTATCTTCCACCAAATGGCGTGGTGAAAAGGGGTTTTGGTCCTCTTTGGGAACGAGATCCTCTTGATCTCAACATGTTCGCCGGCTCACGCGCCGCTGCGCCGCCATCTGCCGCGCCAGCTGCAGCGCTAGGAATGCCAGCTACTCCATAACTTCTTGGAGCGCCATCAGCACTGCCAGCAGCTGTGGATGCATCGCCCGCAGCACGGCCAGCAGCCGTATTTCCATCGCCAGCAGCGTCAGCAGCACAGCCAGCAGCCGTAGATGTTCGCGCCACAAGGCCGTGCACTTTTTCGACATCTCAACTTCCAAAAGTGCTCCGAGACCGCCAGTTTTTAACACTTTTGACTTCCAAATGTGCTTCGCGCCACAACGGCGTGCACTTTTTCGACATCTCAACTTCCAAAAGTGCTCCGAGACCCCCAGTTTTTAACACGTTTAACTTCCAAATGTGCTTCGCGCCACAACGCCGTGCACTTTTCCATCATCTCAACTTCCAAAAGTGCTCCGAACCCCTCAGTTTTTAACACATTTTACTTCCAAATCTGCTTCGCGCCACAACGGCGTGCACTTTTCCGACATGTCAACTTCCAAAAGTGCTCCCAGACCATCAGTTTTTAACACGTTTAACTTCCAAATGTGCTTCGCGCCACAACGCCGTGCACTTTTTCGTCATCTCAACTTCCAAAAGTGCTCCGAACCCCTCAGTTTTTAACACATTTTACTTCCAAATCTGCTTCGCGCCACAACGCCGTGCACTTTTTCAACATCTCAACTTCCAAAAGTGGTCCGACGCTGAGGTGTTTTGTACCTTTTCACTTCGAAATCGGCTTCGCGCCACAACGGCGTGCAACTGTTCATCTCTCATCTCCCCAGATGTCTCCGCACCCGCCGCTTTAGCGAGCCTACTTTTCAACCCTCCGGAGCCACAAAACCACGAAAAAAACACATTTCGCGCACCTGCATCTTCTTTCTTCTGATCTTTTCTCTTCTGACTCTTCTCCCTGCTGACTGCTTTTTCATCTCTCCATGTCCATATTGTCGGAAGTTTGACTTCTAAACTTCCTTCGATAATCCTAATTACGTACCAGTAGTACCGCACAAGGCGGTGGCGGAAGTTTCAGAATAGGAAACCTATAGGAGACGTTCGTTGTTGTGAATCACGGATGGCAGAGCGAATCCACTGATTGACCGAAAGGTGGTTGGAGTTGTGTTTGCTGGAATGGTTGCAATGGTTGCAGTGGTCACCTCACCCACAACTGCTGGATGTAGTGTGATGTACTGCAACTGTAGTTGTAGTTGTAGCGTAGTGGAGTTGTAGTTGTGGTGTAATGTAATTAGTGTATGTAGTTGCAGTCATATAGTTGTAGACTAGTTGTTTTGTAGTTGTAGTAGTTGTAGTTGTAGTTGTTGTTGTTGTAGTTGTTGTTGTTGTAGCTGTAGTTGTTGTGTGGTTGTAGTTGTTGTGTAGTGTAGTGTAGTTGTAGTAGTAGTTGTTGTTGTTGTTGTAGTTGTAGTTGTTGTTGTTCCTGTTGTTGTAGTAGTAGTTGTTGTTGTAGTTGTAGTTGTTGTTGTAGCTGTAGTTGTTGTAGTTGTAGTTGTAGTTGTATTTCTAGTTGTAGTTGTTGTGTAGTTGTAGTTAGTAGTAGTAGTAGTAGTTGTTGTTGTTGTTGTTGTTGTTGTTGCTGTTGTTGTTGCTGTTGTTGTAGTAGTTGTAGTTCTAGTTGTAGTTCTAGTTGTAGTTCTAGTTGTTGTGTGGTTGTTGTAGTTGTAGTTGTAGTTGTTGTAGTTGTAGTTGTAGTTGTTGTAGTTGTAGTTGTTGTGGTTGGTGTTGTTGTTGTTGTTGTTGTTGCTGTTGCTGTTGTCGTCGAAGTTAGGGTAGTTAAGTTAGTGAAGTATAGTGAAGTTAGTTAAGTTAGTCAAGTTAGTTAAGTTAGTCAAGTTAGTTAAGTTAATCAGTGTCTACTTTTTCGACATCTTCACGTCAAAAAAGGCTCAAAACCCTCAGTTTTTACACTTTTGACTTCGAAATGTGCTTCGCGCCACAACGGCGTGCACTTTTTCGACACTTTTTCGACATCTGAACCTCCAAAAGTGGTCCGAGACCGTCAGTTTTTAACACTTTTGACTTCCAAATGTGCTCAGTTTTTAACACTTTTTAACTTCCAAATGTGCTTCGCGCCACAACGCCGTGCACTTTTCCATCATGTCAACTTCCAAAAGTGCTCCGAGACCATCAGTTTTTAACACATTTTACTTCCAAATCTGCTTCGCGCCACAACGGCGTGCACTTTTTCCGACATCTCAACTTCCAAAAGTGCTCCGAGACCCTCAGTTTTTAACACGTTTACTTCCAAATGTGCTTCGCGCCACAACGCCGTGCACTTTTTCGTCATCTCAACTTCCAAAAGTGCTCCGAACCCCTCAGTTTTTAACACATTTTACTTCCAAATCTGCTTCGCGCCACAACGCCGTGCACTTTTTCAACATCTCAACTTCCAAAAGTGGTCCGACGCTGAGGTGTTTTGTACCTTTTCACTTCGAAATCGGCTTCGCGCCACAACGGCGTGCAACTGTTCATCTCTCATCTCCCCAGATGTCTCCGCACCCGCCGCTTTAGCGAGCCTACTTTTCAACCCTCCGGAGCCACAAAACCACGAAAAAAACACATTTCGCGCACCTGCATCTTCTTTCTTCTGATCTTTTCTCTTCTGACTCTTCTCCCTGCTGACTGCTTTTTCATCTCTCCATGTCCATATTGTCGGAAGTTTGACTTCTAAACTTCCTTCGATAATCCTAATTACGTACCAGTAGTACCGCACAAGGCGGTGGCGGAAGTTTCAGAATAGGAAACCTATAGGAGACGTTCGTTGTTGTGAATCACGGATGGCAGAGCGAATCCACTGATTGACCGAAAGGTGGTTGGAGTTGTGTTTGCTGGAATGGTTGCAATGGTTGCAGTGGTCACCTCACCCACAACTGCTGGATGTAGTGTGATGTACTGCAACTGTAGTTGTAGTTGTAGCGTAGTGGAGTTGTAGTTGTGGTGTAATGTAATTAGTGTAGTGTAGTTGCAGTCATATAGTTGTAACTAGTTGTTTTGTAGTTGTAGTTGTAGTTGTAGTTGTTGTAGTTGTAGTAGTAGTTGTTGTTGTTGTTGTTGTTGTTGTTGTTGTTGTTGTAGCTGTAGTTGTTGTGTGGTTGTAGTTGTTGTGTAGTGTAGTTGTAGTAGTAGTTGTTGTTGTAGTTGTAGTTGTTGTTCCTGTTGTTGTAGTAGTAGTTGTTGTTGTAGTTGTAGTTGTTGTTGTAGCTGTAGTTGTTGTAGTTGTAGTTGTAGTTGTATTTCTAGTTGTAGTTGTTGTGTAGTTGTAGTTAGTAGTAGTAGTAGTAGTAGTAGTAGTAGTAGTAGTAGTAGTAGTAGTAGTAGTAGTAGTAGTAGTAGTAGTAGTAGTAGTAGTAGTAGTAGTAGTGGTAGTAGTAGTAGTAGTAGTGGTAGTCGTAGTAGTAGTAGTTGTTGTTGTTGTGGTTGTTGTTGTTGTTGCTGTTGTTGTTGCTGTTGTTGTAGTAGTTGTAGTTCTAGTTGTAGTTCTAGTTGTAGTTCTAGTTGTTGTGTGGTTGTTGTAGTTGTAGTTGTAGTTGTTGTAGTTGTAGTTGTTGTTGCTGTTGCTGTTGTCGTCGAAGTTAGGGTAGTTAAGTTAGTGAAGTTAGTTAAGTTAGTCAAGTTAGTTAAGTTAATCAGTGTCTACTTTTTCGACATCTTCACGTCAAAAAAGGCTCAAAACCCTCAGTTTTTTACACTTTTGACTTCGAAATGTGCTTCGCGCCACAACGGCGTGCACTTTTTCGACATCTCAACTTCCAAAAGTGGTCCGAGACCGTCAGTTTTTAACACTTTTGACTTGGAAATGTGCTTCGCGCCACAACGGCGTGCACTTTTTCGACATCGCAACTTCCAAAAGTGGTCCGACGCTGAGGTGTTTTGTACATTTTGACTTGGAAATGTGCTTCGCGCCACAACGGCGTGCACTTTTTTGACATCTCAACTTCCAAAAGTGGTCCGAGAATGGTGTGTTTTGTACATTTTGACTTGGAAATGTGCTTCGCGCCACAACGGCGTGCAATTTTTCATCTCTCATCTGGCCAGCTGGCTCCGCACCCGCCGCTTTAGCGAGCCTACTTTTCGACCCTCCGGAGCCACAAATCATTGGAAAAACACAGTGAATCGCGACTTTCCTACCCTTTCGCGCATCTGTATCTTCTTTCTTCTGACTCTTTCTCTTCTACACTTCTCTCTTCTAATCTTTCTCTTCTCTCTGCATCTTCCCTGCTCTGCTTTTCATCTGTCCATATTGTCGGAAGTTTGACTTCTAAACTTCCTTCGATTAGATATGTATATGTATGTTATATATATAATTATCTATACATATGTATATATTATAATTATATATCATATAACCATATATTATCAGATGTAATATAAATATATATATATATAACCATTTATTACCATATATTACCATATATTACCATCTGATAATGAAACGTGGACAGAGCCAGCTCAGGCCTTGGACCTTGCTGAGCTCTGCGGCCTTCTGGTGGCCTTGGTGTCGCTTTTTACCGATGGCCGCGGTGGCCGCAGTGGCCAGGCCGGGGATCCATGGGATTTTTTGGGACATTTTAAGATGGATTGTTTGTTTTAATGGATATGGAGGTTCCTAAGGTATGGATCCTAAGATTTTATGTGTTTTGTTTTTTTGAAAATAAATGCGTCAAGATGATTATACTATTAAGATGGAATTTGGGGGGGGTAATTATGGATATGTTTTTATTGGAAAGGCCCATGTGACGGATGCAGATGCTGAATTTTTGATGTTGGGATGACAAATCAAACTGAGGAAATCAGACCACCACCCCTTTGGGTTGCCCCGCTGCTGTTTTTCTTATTGTTCTTATTTTCTCCGTATGGAATTACTGAACTGTATAAAGAATAAAATATGTACATATATATATATATATACATAATGCGCAACAAATAATTGTGATTGGTTTTATCCCATAGAATTTGGGGCTGCTCAACCAGAACATCATGGCGATCCAGGCTTTGCGAAGCCATTGCCTCTGGCGCTTTTCGTTTGACGATGCTTTGTCCCTGACCGATGCATCAGCGCGGGAGCGGGTCCACAGGGTCAGCAAGGTGCTGGATGAGTCAAACACCTTTCGAAAGGTGGTGCTAGGGTTTAGGGTAGATATCTCCAACTAGTTGACAGAACCCCATGATAAACCAACTTATAACTGGTGGGCACAATATTGCGTTGACATCAACCTCCCATCTTCATTTGATTCCCTTCTTCATGAGCAGAACTGCTCGTAAAGTCCAGCCATTTTTAACTATTTAACTGGTGATGTCAGTCATTTTCCTGGCTCAACTCATGTTCAAATCCAAAAGGAGTTGGCGAATGCTGCCTGGGCCTGCGCGAAGGTGACAACTGCAGGCGGACCGGGGATGGGGTTTGGGTTTGGGTTTTGTTCCGAGGCGGGGAATCATTGCTATCTGGTTCGGAAGTATTTTAATTATTTTATAATAATTAGTTTATTAATAGTGGTTCGGGGAATCATTAATTTATCATAATTTATCCAGATAGCAACCCTCCCAAGGCAATGATATACTTCGTGACTCTGTACGGCAATCCTTAGCGATTTTGGGGCTATATTCCCGCTAGGATTCCATTTTCGATAACAAGAAATGGGATGTAGCACACCTCCAAAAGATAGAAGTTTGATGAAGTTTGTAGAATCTGAATCTAACATGGTGATGAAATCCTTTTCGATCTATATTATATATGTGCTGGGTATATGACCAACCGGTCAGTGGTTTTTAAGGTTCAAAAAACAACAACAAAAAGCTGGCAAAAAAAAACAGCTGGTATCCTAGTATCCTAGTCTTAAAAAACCAATCCACTGTAGTCTACTTTTGAATGTTGCTTTTAGGTTTTCAGCATCATCTACATGAAACTTGACATGTCAACCCAAGGGAATCACCTTTGTTTGCTTAGCAAAATGAATCGTCACCAGTGACTTAGTGGCCAACACACCCCAAGCATAGGGACAATTGTATCAGTGTATCAGTGTACTGTATGATTCAAAATTATTCAAAAATAAATTCTAACATAGTGTAAAATATTATAAACATCTATAAACCACTCTTTGAACCACTTAGCTAGTCACTGAGTCCACAGTTTAAACCTTTCAACGGCGGCCTAGGCCTCCCTTGCCTCGAGCGAATTGCAACGGCATCCTTGGAGATGGATCCCAGGCTCGATCGGTTGGGTGCTTACCATGGGAAAACAGGATTGAAATCATCGGGAAATAGGCTATTAATTTATGGATATTTATGAGTATATGTATGGTAATTATAGTAATTTATTGAAATTTATGGATATGTATGAATATTTATGGATAGTTATGGATATTTATGAATAGATGTTGGTAAGTTATGGTAGTTTATGGAAATTTACGGATATTTATGAATAGATGTATGGTAATTTATGGTAGTTTATGGAAATTTACGGATATTTATGAATAGATGTATGGTAATTTATGGTAGTTTATGGAAATTTACGGATATTTACGAATATATGTATGGTAATTTATGGTAGTTTTTGGAAATTTATTGATGTTTACAGATATTTATGAATATGTATAATAATTTATATGGTAGTTTATGGAAATTTATTCATATTCATGGATATTTATGCATATGTTTGGTAATTTATGGTAGTTTATGGAAATTTATGAATATTTATGTAATATATATATATGGATATTTATGAATATTTATGGTAATTAATTATGATAGTTATTTTTGGACAAATTATGGATATTTATTGATAGTTATTCATGGATATGTATGGTAATTTATGATAGTTTACCAAGATTTATGGAAATTCATGGTAATTTTAGTATAGCTAAATCAATGAACAAACATCCTGCTACTTTCAGAAGCGCCAATTTCCGTTTGAACTTCGCAGGCCGAAGTTCAAAGGGAGTTTCACTGCTGTGGATGTGGTTCCTCGACTTGATCTACTGGAAGAATCACGATGTGACCTTAAGGACCTTTTGAGATGGGGTTAATATACAGATGGCTAGTATATGGATGTATATATGGTGATTTTTCATGGCATTTAACGATGTCACCAGGACCCTTTTGGGATGATTCCCCAATAGCTGGATGGTTTACAAGGGAAAATCCTACTAAAATGGATGATTTAGGGGTACCCCTATTTCAGGAAACCTCCAAATGGTTGTGTCTGAAAATGGGTGTTTGGAACCATAGGGAAAGTGATGATCAGCCAATGAATTTAGGAAATAAATTTAGGGCATCCAATTTTCAGACAAATTCATCAAATTTAGGGGAATCATTCGCACATGGAATGATTTTGAAATAGTGCGAATTGAAGGCTAACTATCCCCAAAATGATTCAATAAGGAAATGTTGGACCATTGGGCCACATGTTCGGGCAAAGACTTCACGAAGGAACACATGGCCAAAGCCACAAGGTTGAGACTTTGCAGCAACTTATACATGCTTAATGTGATATGTATATATATATACACATTATAAATAGACACATGATGCATACATAGTTACATGTGAAACTATATGTTTGAAAGGCATCATACAAGAGAGTGGGTTGTGACTTGCATCGAACCAGGACTTCCCGGAGTTTCAGCTGCCCCATGGGTTGTTTTCAGTTTCCCTGCAGTTTTCAGGATGGCTCTGACGGAAAGTTTCCCAGATTTTTGTTCCCGTGTAAGGTTAGCTGATGTTAGTCACTTTTTGACCATGTGTTTCTCATTGGCTTGGTTTGACGGAAAGCTCCCGGGAATTTGAACAGGCAGCTGAAGAAGCAGTTGGAATCTGCGCGATTTGACCGTATTTTCCTAAGTCTGTGATTGGCGACCACCGTTGGAAACAAGATCCGCATATGCTGCGTTTGTTTCATATGTGTGTTTCACGTTGAATCAACAATGCCTGCAAATTCAAAAGCCATCCAAACATCTCAGGCGCAGCTTTGCTGGTCTTTGGCCTCTTTGACAGTTGAGGCAGGGATGGGGAAATGGGGAAAGATTGGCCTTTACCTGTTTCAAAGGTAATGTGGGATTAATATGGATTATATAATGATGATCCCTAGTATATAGTTGATTTAATTAATTTATTATTGGGGGGGTAGAAATTATTGGACTTATTAGTATCTTGGGTGGCAGCGATCGGATTTACCCTCTGGTGATTTAACATAGCTATGCAACATGGCCCATTCATAGATGACAAACATGATGATTTACCTTTTGAATAATGGTGAAGTTCCACTTCGCTACGTCAAATAACCAGAGGGTGTCATATGGTGTCATACACATATGTATCATGAGGAGATGGACATAATTACTGGGATGTGACTAACATTAGCTAACCGACTAAGAACCAGAGGATAACCAGAGGATAAACATAGAAACCACCAGTCACCGAGTGGTTCGCTAATCCACATTCCCCAAGCGCTCATGGCCGAGTTGTGCAGACATCTGGTTCACATCTGAATCAGTGGCTGGAGGTGTCCAACCACCACATACATACTGTGTATATATATATAATATTTATATTTATATATAGCATAAATATATATATATATATATATACAGTGTATAAATAAATAAATTAATATATATATATACTGTATATATATATATTTATATACACTGTATATGTTTATATACTGTGTATATATACATGTAGAACCTACATACTGTATATATATATATAGAGATAATCTACATATATATATACATACATATTTAATTATAACTGTATATATGTATATATACAGACATATTATTGTAGATAATTATGGTTCAAGCCTGTCTATCTCCAACACTAGATGTTTCAACAATTAAAAACAAGATATGTTTGATTTCACTATACCCTCAGCACATCCCACGACCTCATTGTTACCAACATCTCCATGGTGGATTCAGTAACGTGTCAACATGAATGTAGTGATTTACGTAATCACATGTAATGTCAAGTTAGGATTAATAAACCCCGTGGTATTAATCAACCCCCTCTGCCCCCAAAGAAAAATGTAATTTAAAAAAAGGTGGTCCCCCAGGATTAATAAACCCCCCGATAAAAAAACCACCAGTGCTGAAATCATTTTTTTATCCGACAATGTTTATTTCCAATTCTATTTATTTCCAATTTGTTTTTACTTTTTTTTTAATCATCATTGTTATACTTAAGGTTTAAGTTGATCATTGAAAATTTCAAAAAACGACTATTCCCCAAATGATCGATTTCTAATTCAAATCTTTATAAAAATCATCAGTTTGGATAGCTCCCAAAGGGTACCCCCCATCAGCCCCTGTCCCCCATTAATAATAACCAGGGTTTGCCCCTGATTAATCAACCACCTTTCTGATCCATGAGATTTTAACAAATCCAATAGAATTCTATTAAGATCTAATTAACGTAAGCCATATCCAAATTTTTATGGGTCAGAGTTGCTTATTATTAAGGGGTGGTCAAGAAACTAGCCAGAAGGTACCCCCCTACCTACCTGGTTGGGGGGGTTAATCACCATGTTGGTCAGATTTAAGGATGTATCAGCCATTTTTTGTTCCCCATTTCAGAAATGACTTGAGGTAGGCCATGGTATCAGAAATCTGAAGTCAACTCCACCCCCTGCCGTCCCCGTCCCTGTCCCGAGGTTCCCTGGTGCCGGGCCGCAGCTCGTTGGGTCACCGACCAACCAGCGACTACCGCGTTCCCTGCGCAGAGTGTGAGCACTGTGGCTTGGGCGCTGGCACGAGGCCGGCAACGGCCAGTTGGAACTACGATTTTTGAAAGTTTGCCAAGCGTATGATATGTATGTATATGTATGTATGTTTATGTGTATATATATATATATGTATGTGTATATATATATGTATGTGTGTATATATATATATGTATGTGTATATATATAAGCCAGTTTTGCAGATTCTTAGGGGATGTAATGGGATATTTGGGGATTTAACCGAACATAATTCTCAGAATTGAGGTAACCAGCCATTTTATGGTGGTGTATATAACGAGGATATACTCTGGGATACAATGGGATACATGACAACCAACATGATCTGTGGTGGTCTGAAAATGAGATGCTCCGCAAATTGCCCTTGTTGGGGAGTTTTTTGTTTTTTGTTTTTACCTTACCAAGGGATTGTATCAGGGATTACATCACTAACAATATGATCTTAGAATCTTAGGTTTGTCTGAAAATGGAGGATTTACCAGCCCAAATAGCAATTTTGCTAGGGAACATTATGATTATATTCAGACACACCATATATAATATGATTCAACAAAGACGGGACTTTCAGCCAAAATGCAATGGGTACATATTTAGTTTTCTTGATGCTTCTTGGAGTGGTTAACAAAACTTTCAACTTGAACATCTCCAGCTAGGGCTAGCCTCATTGAATCTGGGCCCACGTTTCTCCTTTTCAAAACACTGCGGTACAGGCGTGGAGTTCCGGCATGAATGAACATTGTTGCAAAGAATCTAAGACTAGCCATGTTTTGGGACAGTTCGTAACTTTTTCTCTCCGCTCAGGTTGAGATGATAGCGTTGACAGTTGAATTGAGAGTGTTACTGGGTAAGCGTTGACCATGGAGTTGCCAAGCGTAGCCATCAAAGCAAATGGTTCTGCAATCAGATTCAAAGGTCGATCTGATGCCGTTCCCGGATCCCTCAGAACCTTCTGGACCCCAAGTCATCCACTATGACACTATGAATGCCTATCTATTTTGGGACTCAAGGCCCATCCGTTGAGCATCTTCAAATATCATAAATCATATCGATATCCTTCTTAGGCTTAAAGATTAAGTTCATGGGCCGAGAAAGGGATGAGACTGATCATCCAAGCCTATGTAGATCCGGACATCAATTGGCCAATGGGCACATAGATGTGTCCCATCGTCAAGACTTGGTAAATTGCCCAGTGTTGGGCATGGCGGCATGGTCATCAATCCATGAGGATTTCTATTTCTATTCACGGATTCCAATGAGATGGCTGACCATACCCCATTAATGTTTTCCCATGTAACTTGACCGTGGCTCCGCGAGGCGCTGCCAGAGAGGGAGCCAAGAGCGAAGCAGCTGCAGCGGTGGAGCTGCTCCTGCAGGGCCTGGAAGGAGCGGCGGTTGATGTCTTTTTTTGGGGGGAATGTAGATACAGAAACTGGTTGGTGGTTTGGAACATGTTTTATTTTCCATAATATCGGGATTATCCTTCTCATTGACTAATATTTTTCAAAGGGGTTGAAACCACCAACCAGAGAAACATCAGAAACCTTCCAGATGGGTTTATCGATATGGCCCACACCATTTATCACTGACAAAGGTTTTTCAAACATTGATTTGAACAAAAACCCAGCGTTTAATCGATTTCGGGGTTGCTGTAGTTTGTGACAGTTGGGATGTGTAGTGTGATCCCCAAGACAGAAGCAACTCACCATATCAAAATCGCAGCCTTTACATCCTTTTTGGGACCCATATACACGGTTTAACCCCAAAAAATCTTTGTCAGTAAACTGGAGATCAACAAATCAGGCACCCACAAAATCGGCGCTGTTTAGTCTTCAACCATCCAGTGTTCGGATACTCCAGGACAATGATACAGTGTGCAGTATTTGCAAACATATAGACATTAATTAATTAAATACAATTATACGCGTACAATGACATACAAACATAATGTATCATAATGTGGTAGTTCCATACCTGAGAGTTTACTCTCGTGAAATCTTACCTGTTGAAAGTTTTTTTTTATTTTTTATTTTTTTTTGCTATGTTAGTGTTTGGGTTTTGGGGCTGAGATTCAACTAACTTGGCGTTGGGAACACATGGTGTGACATGGACATTTTGGTGCTAACTTGGCGCGTGTGAAGCAGGAAGTAAGCTCAAGCGGGAAATGCTGTGTTAGCGTTCGTCTGTGTGCGCGGGGCAGTTTTTTCCTTAAATTGTTGATTTTGAAGCTTTTTTGGGTCCAGTAAGGGTGAGCCCCAGGAAGACATCCAAAAACAGTTGTGCCAGTCATGATTTTCAATCCAAACCAGAATTTTGGCAACAGGACTACTAACATAGCATTTGCGCAGGGTTCCCAAAACCTCCAATAGTACATCATAATCATCATAGCAGGAAGTAGCCAGATTGGCAACATCGACCAGAAGTTCACCCTTGCTGGACCAAAAAAAACTGCAAAATCAACAATTTTACATAATAGATTGAATATGGAAAAAACTCCTGGTCGATGTTGCCAATCTGGCTACTTGCTGCCATGATGATTATGATGTACTATTGGAGGTTTTGTGAACCCTGAGCAAATGCTATGTTAGTAATCCTGTTGCCAAAACTTTGGTTTGGATTGAAAATCATGACTGGCACAACTGTTTTTGGATGTCTTCCTGGGCTCACCCTTACTGGACCCAAAAAAGCTTCAAACCGAACAATTTTACATAATAGATTGAATATGAAAAAAACTCCTGGTCGATGTTGCCAATCTGGCTACTTGCTGCCATGATGATTATGATGTACTATTGGAGGTTTTGGGAACCCTGCGCAAATGCTATGTTAGTAGTCCTGTTGCCAAAATTCTGGTTTGGATTGAAAATCATGACTGGGCACAACTGTTTTTGGATGTCTTCCTGGGGCTCACCCTTGCTGGACCCAAAAAAGCTTCAAAATCAACAATTTTACAAAATAGATTGAATATGGAAAAAACTCCTGGTCGATGTTGCCAATCTGGCTACTTGCTGCCATGATGATTATGATGTACTATTGGAGGTTTTGGGAACCCTGCGCAAATGCTATGTTAGTAGTCCTGTTGCCAAAATTCTGGTTTGGATTGAAAATCATGACTGGGCACAACTGTTTTTGGATGTCTTCCTGGGGCTCACCCTTGCTGGACCCAAAAAAGCTTCAAAATCAACAATTTTACAAAATAGATTGAATAAGAAAAAACTCCTGGTCGATGTTGCCAATCTGGCTACTTGCTGCCATGATGATTATGATGTACTATTGAAGGTTTTGGGAACCCTGGGCAAATGCTATGTTAGTAGTCCTGTTGCCAAAACTTTGGAAATCATGACTGGCACAACTGTTTTTGGATGTCTTCCTGGGGCTCATCCTTGCTGGACCCAAAAAAGCTTCAAAACGAACAATTTTACATAATAGATTGAATATGGAAAAAACTCCTGGTGGATGTTGCCAATCTGGCTACTTGCTGCCATGATGATTATGATGTACTATTGAAGGTTTTGGGAACCCTGCGCAAATGCTATGTTAGTAGTCCTGTTGCCAAAACTTTGGAAATCATGACTGGCACAACTGTTTTTGGATGTCTTCCTGGGGCTCACCCTTGCTGGACCCAAAAAAGCTTCAAAACGAACAATTTTACATAATAGATTGAATATGGAAAAAACTTCTGGTCGATGTTGCCAATCTGGCTACTTGCTGCCATGATGATTATGATGTACTATTGGAGGTTTTGGGAACCCTGCGCAAATGCTATGTTAGCAGTCCTGTTGCCAAAATTCTGGTTTGGATTGAAAATCATGACTGGGCACAACTGTTTTTGGATGTCTTCCTGGGGCTCACCCTTGCTGGACCCAAAAAAGCTTCAAAATCAACAATTTTACAAAATAGATTGAATATGGAAAAAACTCCTGGTCGATGTTGCCAATCTGGCTACTTGCTGCCATGATGATTATGATGTACTATTGGAGGTTTTGGGAACCCTGCGCAAATGCTATGTTAGTAGTCCTGTTGCCAAAATTCTGGTTTGGATTGCAAATCATGACTGGGCACAACTGTTTTTGGATGTCTTCCTGGGGCTCACCCTTGCTGGACCCAAAAAAGCTTCAAAATCAACAATTTTCTAAATAGATTGAATAAGAAAAAACTCCTGGTCGATGTTGCCAATCTGGCTACTTGCTGCCATGATGATTATGATGTACTATTGAAGGTTTTGGAAACCGTGGGCAAATGTTATGTTAGTAGTCCTGTTGCCAAAACTTTGGAAATCACGACTGGCACAACTGTTTTTGGATGTCTTCCTGGGGCTCACCCTTACTGGACCCAAAAAAGCTTCAAAACGAACAATTTTACATAATAGATTGGATATGGAAAAAACTTCTGGTCGATGTTGCCAATCTGGCTACTTGCTGCCATGATGATTACGATGTACTATTGAAGGTTTTGTGAACCCTGCGGAAATGCTATGTTAGTAGTCCTGTTGCCAAAACTTTGGTTTTGGATTGAAAATCCAAACCAGAATTTTGGCAACAGGACTACTAACATAGCATGTGCGCAGGGTTCCCAAAACCTCAAATAGTACATCATAATCATCATGGCAGCAAGTAGCCAGATTGGCAACATCGACCAGGAGTTTTTTCCATATTCAATCTATTATGTAAAATTGTTCGTTTTGAAGCTTTTTTGGGTCCAGCAAGGGTGAGCCCCAGGAAGACATCCAAAAACAGTTGTGCCAGTCATGATTTTCAATCCAAAACCAAAGGTTTGGCAACAGGACTACTAACATAGCATTTGCGCAGGGTTCCCAAAACCTCCAATAGGACATCATAATCATCACCCTTACTGGACCCAAAAAAGCTTCAAAATCAACAATTTTATATAATAGATTGAATAAGGAAAAAACTCCTGGTCGATGTTGCCAATCTCGCTACTTGCTACTATGAAGTAGGATTGAATGTTTTTGGAACCATTTATTGGTGGAAAGGCTGATGAACGCTATGTTAGTAGTCCTGTTGTCAAAACTTTGGTTTTGGATTGAAAATCGTGATTGGCACAACTGTTTTTGGATGTCTTTGTGACTCTTTGTGGGGTGAACCCTTACTGCACCCAAAAAAGCTTCAAAATCAACATTTTTACATAATAGATTGAATAAGGAAAAAACTATGTGTTGATGTTGCCAATCTCGCTACTTGCTACTATGACGTACGATTGATTTTTTTTGGAACCATTTTTTGGTGGAAGGGCTGATAAACGCTATGTTAGTAGTCCTGTTGCCAAAACTCTGGTTTGGATTGAAAATCATGACTGGGCACCCAAGGAAAGGAGACTACTAACATAGCATTTGCGCAGGTTTCCCAAAACCTCCAATAGTACATCATAATCATCATGGCAGCAAGTAGCCAGATTGGCAACATCGACCAGAAGTTTTTTCCATATTCAATCTATTATGTAAAATTGTTCGTTTTGAAGCTTTTTTGGGTCCAGCAAGGGTGAGCCCCAGGAAGACATCCAAAAACAGTTGTGCCAGTCATGATTTTCAATCCAAAACCAAAGGTTTGGCAACAGGACTACTAACATAGCATTTGCGCAGGGTTCCCAAAACCTCCAATAGTACATCATAATCATCACAGCAAGTAGCCAGATTGGCAACATCGACCAGTCGACCAGGAGTTTTTTCCTTATTCAATCTATTATGTAAAATTGTTGGTTTTGAAGCTTTTTTGGGTCCAGTAAGGGTGAGCCCCAGAAAGGCATCCAAAAACAGTTTTGGTTTGATCTGGTCGGCTGGAGACTCAAAAGAGACAACCTAACATAGCAACCAGGGGTACTTTCATTCTGGATTGATTGATTGATGCGTTCGGTTTCCCATTTTCTAAAACATGTTTTCCGTGGAGTTTGATGCTAACATAGCACTTTCCATTTGGTGGTTCCAAGCTGTGACAAGTCTCCAGACAGCTATGTTAGCTTATTCTGGTACATTTCTTTTACCCACTTCCTGGGGAATGCCAAACATTGGGAGGACGGAAACAGAGGCTATGTTAGCAGGTGCTGGCAGAAATCACCCAAATGATCACTTTCTCCAAATCCCCAGGGTTGACAACGTAGCCAGATGCTATGTTTGTGAGTTGGTGCCAGGGCTAAAAAACGCTATGTTAGATTTCACCGGTGTATCCCATTTGGAAAGCAGATAGATAGAAAGCATGATCACCAAGTCTCCAATTCCTGGTCGTCCTAGTCAGTTCATTTTTCAATGCGTTATGCACATTACTACTTGCTAATCGCAACTATTTACAGTAATCGCTGCTGTTGCGATTAGTTGATCCTCCAAGTGTCGAATTGTCTTTTGGGAACATCTTCAGACCCCAATTTTTTCTGTTTTTTTTTTCACCCATGGTTTGCTGTATTGTTTCCCGTCCATAGTATGATCTAGTTTGCAGGAAGGTCCCTCCAGTGGGGTTACGGCGGTTACGGCGAGTCCAATTATAGCTGAGTTTTTCACTAAGCCGCACTGGGCTGGTTCACCTGGCAATCAAACATGCCAATGGACAATCCCTTATAAATGGAGGTGGAAAATGGGAAAATCATGGAAAATCCCTTTACCCTTGGGGATTTTCAGGGATTTTCCACAGCCACGTTTGATTGGAGGGTAAATCTCTTATGTCTTCGGACAACCCATCCATCCCGATCTACACTGGGCGCAGAGGTGACTTGGAACCCCGGCACTGGTCCAATTTGTCCTGGGCAGCTGCCAAAGTGAATGCTGCCAGCCTGTCACCAGCCGGCGGGCTCAGAGCTACCCCATTTTCCGGTGATGTGTTGTGACCGACGATGCAAGCATCGCGAATGACGTATGATTCTTGCGCCTTCAACCAGTTCTCACGGTATCAACAGCCAAAGCTCGTGCCATTTAATTGGGTTAGGGCCTCACCTGTACATGCAAGTCAACTCGTTTGTGCACGTGGGTCTCCTACTCGTCCTTATAAACAAAGTTTCTCCAGTTTACAGGTGAATCTACGCTACTTTCCTCCGACTGTTTCTATTCTACTCCCTCACATGACCAGTGCAAGTGAACATGAGCGTGTTGGCACCCCGGCCCAACCCCCAACCCCAACCCACCACACCCCTGTGTGCACAGATGAGTCAAAGTGTGTGTGTGTATATGAATGAACGTCCTCGGAGTTAAAGAAGAGGGGCATGGAAACTTCCTTTTTCGTGTAAAGTTTCGGCTCAGCTGTATGATCACGTGCCCGGAGTGCAATCAGTGCTTCGCGGAGATCGACGGCAGCTGCGCTCTCTGCCGTTCGTTGCGGCGACTGGCCACTGAGGCCCGCGCTGTAGCCCCGGCACTGCGGGGCTGGGTGGTGGACCAGACTAGAGTCTGGGTTTCGCTGCTTCAAGAAGAAAGCCTCAAGTGGGAGGTGGCCCAAGCAGAGGCCAGGCGCCGAGAGGAGGCGCGACAGGCAGCAGCGGCTGCCACTTCGAAGGCGGTTTCGCCGGTGGTTGCCACCAGCTCGGCGGCAGAGGGCCCAGCTGGAGAAGGGGAGCACCCCGTGAAGACAGAGCCAGCAGAGGAATCGAAGAGAGGAGAGTGCATTATCTCTCCTGGGACTATTTCAAGTCCCCCAGAAGGAGACCAGACAGAACCTCAAGAGGAAGAGGTAGCCGTACCAGCCAGCGTGAAGGAGAAGGGAACCAGCTCAGCAAAGAAAAAGAAGAAGGACAAGAAGAAAAAGACAAAAGAGGAAACTTGCCACGAGAGAGAAAGGTCAGCATCAGAAGAAAAAGCCCATATCAAGAAAGACAAGGCGACCAAGAGAAAAAAGAAAAGTTCATCAAGGTCGAGAAAGAGGAGGAGGCGGTCAGAGGATCGGCGGCGCTCTTCTTCGAGGTCAAGGCGAAGATCTTTGGCTAGAGGGAGTCGAAAGCCTCCAGAACCTGCTCACCCACCGACAGAGTGGCACGGGCAAGCCGAGACTCCTAGATATTACACTCCTAGAGACAGGGAGTACAGTAACTATTCAGCCCAAAGCTCGAATTATACTCCTAGGTACGGGGAGTACGTTGAGGAATCTCCACCGAGGTGGGGAAAGAATAAAGGGCTTACAAAAAGAAAGAAGCAAGCTGAGTGGAGGGGCTACAACCGAGGCTGGCGTTGATGGCCCCAAAGTTGCGCCGTCCAGCAGCTGCTAAGGGAGCGGGCAAAGCAGCTCCTAAGGCTGTCGTGGGAAGGCGGCGAGGAGTGAGGAGGCCGGCAGCTTCAGAGCCGGGAGAAAAGGGAGTGGAGAAGGATCAAGACGTTGAGAAGGAATTTTTGGCTGGCAATTTCATTGAGGCTTCCCTGGCCCCAGTGAGGCATCTGAGTTTGGGAGCTCTCCTGATCCTAGAGGGAGAGTATTGGGGATCAGCCTGCAAGGTATGCGGGACCGTCCAAGGAGTGAAAATTCGAGGAGCCGCCGACGTGGAGATTCTGCTCAACCCAGAGGGTACCGACCACGAGGAGTTGTTGAAGTGGGCATCGGGAAACCCAGGCAAGACTCTTCGCGCCCATCTGTGTGGGCAGACATGCGAGGCCAAGCTAGAGGCCAGCGACCTGATCCACGTGAAGAGGATCCGGAGGAAAGCTCGAGAGGACGAGAAGGGCTGGGCAGAAAATTTGAAAGGAACAGTCGACGAGACGGCAGGTCTGAGAAGAGAGGCCGAAGAAGGTCGAGTACCACCTCCAGAGAAGGAAGAGGTGAAAGAAAAGAAGAAAAAGAAAAAGAAAAAGAAAAAAAAAAGAAAAAAGCCAGGAGAGACCAGACCTCCTCCTCAGACAGTGGGGAAAGGGGAGGTGTAGCAGGGCAGAAGCGGAAAGTTCAAGCGCAGAAAGAGCTGGCCGCGGTGTACGGGACGACAGGCCTCGACCCGGATGGCAAGGTGCGGAAGCGCCTGTTGAAGCGGCTGAAGAAAAAGATCAAGAAGAAGAAGGGGAGCAGTGCCGAGAGCTCAGGCAGCTCCTTAGAGGAAGAGGCATCTCAAGCCTCGAGCCTGGCCAGCAGCGAGTCGGGAGAGATCTTCGAGGAAGCTCAAAAGGTGAGGACGATAGCCCGGAAGGCCCCAGGGCTCCTCACGTATGGAACGGTGAAGGAGATGCAAAGGCAGTTGCTGACGTCGGCGGGGACGGTGTGGTGGCAGGAGCGAGCTTCCGTTCCCCCGATTGCACTGCAGTTCTATCGGACGCAGCTGGCCAACCGCCTGTCTGGCGGGGCTGCCAGGGAGGCCCTGACATTGTCATGGGCCATCGACTTGGCGCTCCAAGGAAAGATGGCTCAAGCGACGGATACCTTGAGTCAGCGCCTGAAGAGCTTGGAGCTGGTAGCAAGTGGCGCCAGCTGGTCAGTTGCACAACGAGTCGAAGTTGTGCCGATGGAACGAGGGCGGCTGTCAAGCAGGGCAGAAGCCCAAGCAGCTGCAAAAGAAGACAAAGAAGAGCTAAAAACCAGGCAGATGGCAAAAGGAAAAGACAAGGGAAAAGGAGAGTACTCCAACCCATCGTGGCGGGTAGGAGGAAAGAGCGAGCCGAAGGGCAAGGATCGTGGCAAAGGAAAAAAGGGAGGAGACAAGGACGAGGGCAAGAGAAACTCCTAGATAAGGGAGTAGAGGCTGGCAAAGAGGAACTCCTTAGGAGGGGAGTAGAGGATGTGCATGAAGTGGAGTCTCCTCTCCTAAAGAAATATAAGGGAGAGGGGAGAGAGCAAGAATTCGTATGGCATTCCCCAGGAAGCTCGTTTGTCAGCTCTGGGAAGGGCCTTGGCATCCATGGCGCTTTTACAGGTGAAAGCCGTGGTGCGGAGGCTGTGACTCCTGGCTCAAGGCCAAAGGGGAGTGAATATGAGCACAGTGCTGGAAAGGTCTCTCAGGCCACCAGCAGCCAATTTTCCGATGAGATGACTACAGCAGCTGATGGATGCCGCACTGGCGTCAGAGCTAGGCAGTCTTCTCCTAGCCCTTGCAGTAGAGGTAATCGTAGTTACCTCCTAGGAGAGGACGAGCTGACTGTCGGCGAAGGTGGTCTGAAAAAAGGGCTGCGGGGCGTTCAGGGAAGAGTTGAAATTGAAGAGGTTTCTGGTTTGGTTGGTTCCCGGTTCCCGGCTGCTTTCCCCCTTATTAGATCCCTGCTGAATAGCGTTAGTAAATTTGAGTCACACTGGCACAGCGAGACCAAGACCACGGGTGAGGTATTTCCCTTACCCACCGGCACGGATCAATTGAAGGGGGTAGGTGGTCTGGAGGGAGAGTTGGTGGGGGTTTTGTCGTGTATTTGTATGGCCTTGAATAGCTATGCGGGGTGTTCTACTTGGGCCGAGGGGCCAATGTCGAAAACTCAACGATTCTATCTGGAAGGAATCAGTCAGTTGGTGGTAGAGATGGGAGATTGGACCGAAACATTCGGAGAAATCTCCTGGCAGAGCTTCTTCAAGTTTCGAAGTATCGATTATGTGGGAGATGAGGTGGCAACAGCCCGCCTCACCTCCTGGAATAACATTCAATCGGCCATTCCAACTGAAGTGGGCTCAGTGCCACTACGTGAAGTCGTAGGTGCTGGATGCCGACATTATGTGGAAAGGTTTGAAGATTTTCTGTTGGATGGGGGTTCAATGACCTATACAAAGCCCCCGCGAGTCATGGTAGTGGAGCAAGACTGGGATCGAATGTGCGAAGGACTCATCGATGCAGGAATCTGTGGCGTTATGGCTGAGGCTGATCTTTACCATGTCAAAGGTAAACCGCTCCTGAGCGGACTCTTTGGAGTCTCAAAAGGGGAGCTGGCAAATGGATATGATGTTCATCGGTTAATAATGAATTTGATACCCCTGAACAACATTTGTCGGGGAATTCAAGGAGACATCGCCACATTGCCGGCCTGGTCCTCTTCAGGTCCTCTGTATCTCATGCCAACAGAGAATCTCCTGATTTCGTCGGAAGATGTTAAGTGCTTCTTCTATATCTTCCGAGTTCCATCGGCCTGGGAACGGTTTTTGGGGTTCAACAAGGTTGTATCTTCCCGGTTCCATCCGGGTCGAGAAGGGCGCCATGTATTGGTGGCAAAGGTATTGCCCATGGGGTTCAAAAATAGTGTTAGCATTGCGCAGCACATCCATCGAACCATTGCACAGCGAGCGGCTAAACGGACCCCCGGTCGTCTCCAAGCTCATCAGGAGCTAAGGAAAGATAAGCCTTTCCCCTCCACCGAGGTGTTGCACAGGATTTACTTGGATAATTTTGATGAGATGGAGAAAGTGGATGAGAACCTGGCGCAGGTTATCAAAGGGTCTGCCTCTCCGGCTGTCCTAGCGTTGCGGCAAGAGTACGAGCACTGGGGGATCCCTAGGCACCCCCGCAAAGCAGTGCAGCGTAGCTTACGGGCGGAAGTCCAGGGAGCTATAGTTGATGGAGAATCAGGGTGTGCCTATCCAAAACCCGAAAAGATTCTGAAGTATGCTCAGTTGGCGTTGATGACAGTAGTCGCTGATCGTTGTACTCAGAAAGAAATGCAGGTTGTAGCGGGAGGATTGGTGTATGTGGCCACTTTCCGAAGAGCATTGATGGGCAGTTTGAATTCCATCTGGGAATTTATTGAAGAGTTCAACAAATATCCGGCGGTTATTCGACTGGAAATCCCGAGGCTGGTAAAGTTAGAGATCTCCAGGTTCCTTGCACTTGTCCCCCTGGCGAGAATGGATTTCAGGTTGCAACCAAGCGCACTGGTCACTGCCAGTGATGCCTCTACAACGGGAGGGGGTGTTACAGTTAGCAGAGGGTTAAGCAACTTGGGCCAGATGGCCGCCTCATGCAAGGTTCGGGGAGATATTCCCGCCATGGAAGATCTCACTCAGGTGCTGACGATCGGCCTCTTTGATGGGATCGGAGCGCTAAGAGTGGCGGCAGACGCCGCTGGTTTGCCTGTGGCAGGACACATCAGTGTGGAGGTCAACCCGGAAGCTTCTAGGGTCTTGGAGTCCAGGTTTCCTGGAACACTGTTTGTGTCTCAGGTCGAAGAAGTGAATGCAGAGATGGTTAAACAATGGTCGTGCCAGTTCACTCAGGTGGGCCTGGTGGTGTTGGGAGCAGGCCCTCCCTGCCAGGGTGTGAGCGGTCTGAATGTGGACCGTCGTGGGGCACTGAAGGATCATCGAAGTAGGCTGCACAGTCATGTTCCTAGGATCCGGTCTTTGGTCCAGGCTGCTTTCCCGTGGGATCAGGTTCACTCTCTTATGGAGTCGGTCCAATCCATGGATGTGGAGGACCGGCAGGTGATGAGCGAATCATTTGGTGAACTCCCCTGGGCTATTGATGCCTGTGGAGTCAGTTTGGCTCGCCGTCCACGATTTTATTGGGTCACATGGGCTTTACACAGTGGAGATGGGGCTAGTGTACACCCAGCGACCACTCTTGAGTCACAAGGATGTGGCCGGGTAGACTTGGTCGGCGACCTGGATCCCTCCAAGTATTTGACGGCGGGATGGTCAAGAACTTCCAAGGAGCCTTTTCCTACGTTTACCACATCTAGACCACGAGATCATCCTGGACGGCGTCCGGCGGGGGTAGAGAAATTGAACCAGGAAGAGAAACAACAATGGGTGGAGGACGATTTCCGGTTCCCCCCATATCAATATCAGAGGTCTTTCCAACTGGTTAGAGGCACTGCTTCCAGGCTGCTCAATGTGGAAGAGAGGGAAGTGATCTTGGGGTTCCCCCGTCAGTACACTCTTCACTGTCTGCCAAAGGCCAAGCAGAATACGGTCCTTCATATGGACACACGCCTCACCCTGCTTGGCAACAGCTGGAATGTCACGGTGGTTACATGGCTGTTGGGGCAACTTTGTCATGTATTAGGCCTCATTGAACCCCTTACTGTGCAACAGTGCATTGACAGAACCTCACCTGGTAGCAGCGATGACTTGGCAACCTTTCTTACTCGTCCTCCTATGTCAGGCCCCCGCAAGCATCTGTTACATGGGAAGGAACTCACGTTGGTCAAGAAATTGTTGAACATGGTCAGTATTAAAGGTGAAGACATTCTAGTGTCATCTACCACGGAAGACACACTGCGTTATCACCGCCTCAGAGCTAGTATTCCATCAAATCTATGGGTGTGGAGGACAGTGTGCGGATGGACCTGGCGTGGGTCAAAGGAGCATATAAACAACTTGGAGATGAGAGCCATTTTGTGCGCCCTCAAATGGCGCATCATCAAAATGAAGGGGAACAAACAAAGGATGGTTCATTTGACGGACTCCTTGGTGTGTCTCCACGCCCTCACTAGAGGGCGTACTAGTAGTAGAAAACTACGTCGGACGGTAGCTCGTATCAATTCCTTGCTTCTCCTATCACAGAACTCGGCGGTGTGGACCTATGTCCATACCGCTTTGAATCCTGCCGACGCTCCCTCTCGGGGGCGCCACCGACGGAAATGGTAAGGAGAACCAAACAACACTTGGAGGGGAGAAGCAAGGAAGAAAGACGAGCTACCCGGGCCCAATTAGGTCCCCTACGTGAACTGACCGTTCAAACAAAAACCAAGCAGAGGTATCAAAAAGCCATTGATCGGTTTTATCAATACCTGCGAGAGAATGATCTGAGCTTGCCACGCCAACGTGTGAATTTAGATCCCTTGGTATCAGAGTACCTTGAGTTTCTGTGGAGTGAAGGGGAAGGATGAGGTTTAGCTTCGGACACCCTGGCCGGGCTCCAGGATCGTGACCCCCATTTAAAGGGTCTTCTCGTTTGTAGCTGGAGGCTTCTCAAAACGTGGATGTCCAATGAAATACCCTGTCGGGCTCCACCACTCACCGAACAAGCACTCCAGACTCTCGCGGGATATGCCCTGTTTCACGGTCAACAAACCTTTTGTTTGTCTTTGTTGGTTGCTTTTTATTGTCTCCTTCGTACAGGAGAATTATTGGGTCTCCGCAACAAGGATATTTCACAAAGCGGGCCCAATGCTGTTGCTGTTATTTCCTTGGGTTTGACAAAAGGGGGAAAACGGGCCGGGGCGCCCGAGAGTGTGACTCTCACAGAAGAGGACACTCTTCGCCGATTGTGGCAGTGGAAACAAGCCACTAGCCCTGGAACCCCCCTATGTCCACTTCCTCATAAGTGGCGCAAATTGTTTAATGATACCATTTCTGCACTGGGACTCTCGGAATATCAGTATCGACCCTATAGTCTCCGCCGAGGAGGCGCCACGTTTTATTTTCAACGACATGGGCAGCTAGATCGGTTGCTCATACAAGGCCGATGGCAGTCAGCCAAGACGGCTCGACTCTACATCAATAGCGGAATAGCCACTTTGGCTGAAACTGAATTGAAACTCACCCCTCACGCCCGCGTGTTTCACAGACAATTTTTACGTTCTCAGCAGTCTCCCTTGCCTCAACTTGAGCATGCCACCAGTGGCAGGGCAGGGGGACGTGGGAGTAAAAACTCCAAAAACAAAAAATCTCGGCAGCGAGATAAAAAAGGTAGGGTTACTGGTTGTTCCCCGGTCTGGCGGGGCCCAGTCTACCTTCCACTCTTTAGCTCATGCCTACCTTGGTCTGGCAAGGAGGTTATGGGGGGAGTGTCAGGTGGTTACCTGAAATAAATTTGGAGGAATTTGTGGGATGTGTTTTTTGCTGTCCATGAAATTGGACTTGGTGAACCCTAGTGGGTTAAACGTTAATTTGACCAAACAGGTCTTGCTGTGTCAAAAAAGGTGTGAAGTGCCCCGAGTCTTTGAATGAACGTCCTCGGAGTTAAAGAAGAGGGGCATGGAAACTTCCTTTTTCGTGTAAAGTTTCGGCTCAGCTCCCACAACCTCCCACCCTTTTTGGGGGAGTAAAAACTCCAAAAACAAAAAATCTCGGCAGCGAGATAAAAAAGGTAGGGTTACTGGTTGTTCCCCGGTCTGGCGGGGCCCAGTCTACCTTCCACTCTTTAGCTCATGCCTACCTTGGTCTGGCAAGGAGGTTATGGGGGGAGTGTCAGGTGGTTACCTGAAATAAATTTGGAGGAATTTGTGGGATGTGTTTTTTGCTGTCCATGAAATTGGACTTGGTGAACCCTAGTGGGTTAAACGTTAATTTGACCAAACAGGTCTTGCTGTGTCAAAAAAGGTGTGAAGTGCCCCGAGTCTTTATATATATATATATAAATATGTATATGTGTGCGTGTGCGCAGATGAGTCAGGAAATGGTATAAAACCCTGAGTGCGCAGGTGAGTCACTTTTGAATGCGCAAGTGAGTCTCTTACCTTTAATTGTGTGGGTTTCTCTGAACCAATTTCCCAGCACCAGTCGTTGATCATTATTTTTCCTCATAACTTTTTTTTCCCGGACATACCCGTATCATGCACTTGATTGGCACTGGCCAAGACCCCCTCAGTGATAAACCCCTGACCTCTCAGGACATGGGAACCCACGTACGTACATCACAAATTCCTGTCAGACCATTCTCACGATCATTCGGTCTAAAAGCGTCATTTGCAATATGTGAGATTCTATTTCACACCATTTTCCATTCATCCCAATTCACCTCAATCTTCTGAGTTTCTGAGAAACACTCAATTGTTATATAGTTCATTTACACACCCTGTTCACTATGGTCTATAGTTTTATCAACCATGGCCTATAGTCATATCAACTATGGTTCAAGAATGTTACTGATATCAGTTGGTTTATAATATATACAGTATATACCCCTCATTTGATATAACTGATTAACTATACATAGTTCTATCGCCCAGTTGCAGCCACCCCAGTTCCTGTGGCATCTGCCGGTGGAGCAGTTGAAGCAGCCGCAACACCTGGCCAATGTGGCCTGGGCCACGGCAGCAACGGCAGAAATTTCGGAAACGGCTGACAGGTGGGTTGGTCTAGCGAAAAGTTGTGGCCAGATTTTGGAGTTTTCAAGAGGTCTTATTTTTTTGTTTTACCATTTGGTAATTTAACGTAGCTATTGAAAATGGCCATTTATAGTTGATTCACCTATTCGAACTGGTGGTTTTCCATAGCCATGTTAGTTTACCAGAGGGTAAACTACAAACATAGAAATTTTGCTGCAACTAGAAAAATAAATTGTGATTTGATATGACCATAGATATGACATTCAGATATGATCATTGAACCAATGGAGGAATATGTCATTTGTGACCACAGAAATTTAGATTTTGTCACTAGAATGGGAATCCAATGATAGAACTGGGGATTGAACCTAACATCGAACCAATCAAGATGATAAAACAGCTGCTGACTTGATCGCCCTGCCAGGTTGATGCCGCGTATTGCCTCACAAGCACTGCAACTGGGTCTCCATGTGTTTCAAGATGAAGAGTTGGCAGGTGAGCTCAAGGGGCATCCAGCTGGTGGTTTCTGACCATGGGAGCAGCATTCTTCTGGAATGATCACACCTTTCTGGGGATTCCGGGGAGCAAGAAAGAACTCAGCAACGCGTCAATGTTTGTGATTGACATTTGCCAGTTGAAGATCTTGAAGTCTGAACTCCCCCACAAAACCGAGCTTTGCAGAAGGATCAGAAGGATACGGCTGGAGATATTGACCCTTGGGATGCCATGATTTCATGATATTTCATGCAAGTCTTGTCGCTTCCATCCACCAGTTTTTGGCGACATTAAAAGTTTCACAGCTTATAAGTATGTACAGTACATAGTTACATGCTCCATGTGTAACATGTGTATGTATGTGAATATACTGTACACGCATATGCTATATCAATCTTTATAATAGATTATAGATATCCAATATAATTTTCCTCCGTGAACAGGCCTTCTGTACGGAGCGGCTTCCAACCACTTCGTGGAGGAGAGGTTTCTGACGGAAGCGCAACAGGAGGCTGGAGTCGGGGGATGAACGGAAATTGATGACATATAAAAAAAGCCCTATTCAACAGGGGATTTAGATTTAGAATGATTTATAATTATAGATTATATAAGCAACAGTGGTTTAACTATCAAGAATTACTAATTCTATAGGGGGTTAACTATCAACATTTAGTGGTATCTAATGGGCGGTAATGGGATTGAATAGGGAATCTCATAGGGAGTCCATTTTACCATTTTCCAACATCTTCCAATTGCAACGTGGTGATCAGACACTTGTCTTAAACTTTAAGAAGTACACTTTAGTGAACTTTAGTGCTTCAAAATCAAAAAACACATAAGACGATATAGTAATTTGGCATTAGCCAAAAAGGATGTCCTCTGGACAAAGAAGATGGTCAGAGGCAGTCCCAATCCAATTTTTGCTGACCAGAAATGTATGCAATCCTGTATAATCCTGTATCTATTGATGGTCATTTTATTGGTCGGTCAAAACCCGCTTCTTTGGTTGTTTCAATCCCCCTATAATCCCCAATCCTTGTTGGTTAAAACCAGGTCGCATCGCGATGCCTGGGTGGAGTGGAGTTAGCAGGCGCAGCTGTCATCAATCCATTTTCATAGGGATTTACAGTAGCCATTGACAAACGATTCCCATGGAATGGCATGACACCATACCATTGTTTTAACATGTTTTATCATGTGTTATCCATGTACCTTGAGCGCATGAATATATGGCTTCGCTGAAACATTCCCGGGATAGACCCTATGTTCAAAGCCTAATATCCTAATGCGAATCCCTTCCGACTCAATACCGGGAACCCGGTATCAACACCCCAGAGAGATGGCTGGAATGGATTGGAATCATGTCACATGATGTTCTTTCAGAGGCAGTTTAACATTTGCTATGACTGACTGGCTGTTGCCTCAATAGATCCCATAGATTGAACATGATACCCCAGTTGCGAGGGCGATTGCAGCTTCAATTGAATCATCCCAGAACTCTTTTCATGTCTGTTTTTCCCCACCTGCAAGGTGAGGGTTGTTAGATTTTATCAGACCTGTTCTCTTCTCCTCCTCCTTTTCCTCCTCCTCTTCCTCCTCCTTCTCCCCTCCTCCTTCTCCTCCGCCTGTTTCGCCTCCGCCTCGACCATGTCTGCATCAACTTCCACCTCAACTTCCGCCTTGCCAACTCTTCGCCAAGCTCTTTGCCAACTTCCCAGCTCAGTGTGCACCGCGGGACCTCAACCTGGGACCTTCCCAGCTCAATGTGCACCGCTGGACCTCAACCTGGGACCTTCCGAGCTCCTGGACCTCAACCTGGGACCTTCCCAGCTCAGTGTGCACCGCTGGACCTCAACCTGGGACCTTCCGAGCTCAGTGTGCACCGCTGGACCTCAACCTGGGACCTTCCCAGCTCAATGTGCACCGCTGGACCTCAACCTGGGACCTGCCCAGCTCAGTTTGCACCGCTGGACCTCAACCTGGGACCTTCCCAGCTCAGTGTGCACCGTTGGACCTCAACCTGGGACCTGCCCAGCTCAGTGTGCACCGCTGGACCTCAGCGGCCAGAAAGAATGCCAGAAGATATGCCAGATAAAATGCCAGAAGATATGCCAAATAGAATGCCAGAAGGTATGCCAGATAGAATGTCAGATAGATTGCCAGAAGGTATGCCAGATAAAGTGCCAGAATGTTTGCCAGAAGATATGCCAGATAGAATGTCAGATAGACTGCCAGAAGGTATGCCAGATAAAATGCCATGAGATATGCCAGATAGAATGCCAGAAGATATGCCAGATAAAATGTTAGAAGACATGCCAGATAGAATGCCAGAAGGTATGCCAGATAGAATGCCAGATAAAATGTCAGATAGAATGCCAGAAGATATGCCAGATAAAGTGCCAGAATGTTTGCCAGATAGAATGCCAGAAGATGTGCCAGATGATATGCCAGAAGATATGCCAGATAGAAGGCCAGATGGAATGCCAGAAGATATGCCAGAACATCTTCCAGAAGATATGCCAGGTAGAATGCCAGAAGATATGTCAGATAGAATGCCAGAAGATTTGCCAGTATCAAAATGTATCACACGAAGTAAAGTAATTGGGTTTCACATTGTTCTAAAACAAGGACGGCCGTCACAGTCAGTGGATCTAGCGACTGTCATAATACATAGACCAGGGAGAGGCTATATCGCCACAGTAAGCGTCCTGTGCATGAACATGGCAGTGCAAGGGTTTTGTTCCTATGAGCCACCAGCAAACCTCCGTGGTTAAAAACAATCTTCATTGTTAAAGGGAAGATGACCTTGGTGGTTCAGCCAGCCTTTCGTTTCTAAACTACGGTTGACTTTTTGACGTGGAGAGCAAGTGCAAGCCTCATGGTAAGCCTGCAGCATAGCCATTGAAAATGACCTTTAAATATGTTTTAATAGGTCATTTTCCATAGCTCACCGGAGAATGGTGAAATTTCCCATTCCTCGATCCGTAGCGCCCAGGGATCTTCTGGTCGTTGAGCGTCTTGAGCAGTGCAGCTTTTACAAGTTTGGGTGGAGTGGTGGCCCGAAATAGCCTAAGTTGCCCCGATTTTGGCAATAAAACGTGGGTTTTGATAACCGATAAGCATCTATATAAAATGATCTAAAACGGGCATATGAATGCATATGATGGGTATAATTATAACCAATAGATATATTTGGGTGCTACTCTTTGGCAATCAAACATGGCTAGCCCGAAGATCCACTTGAAATGGAGGTTTTAATGGGAAAATCATCAATGCCAAATACATGGGGCAGTCATGGGGTACCCTTTTTCAACTCACAGGTAGTGCCTGATAAATATAAACTCTCCATTTCTGGGCTATTTTTGAACCAGACCCATCGGACGTAGTGTTAAAAACTGTATGGCTGACACGCCAAGTGAATCCTGTGGGAAAACTTGGGATTCGGAATAAGTCCATTGATCTGCAGGGATTTCATGATGCTACGTACAGATAAAAGATCCACAAATTTGCTTCGGAATAAGCCACAAATTTGCTGGTTTCATGATATATGTTGCACATATGTTGTCCATTGCTTCTTGGTGACACACAGAATTATTGCTTGGTTTGACTCACTACATGATCATTAAACCTGGTAGTCTAACCAGGCCATGCAAAATTTTCCAGCCACATTGGATTACAAGAGGGTCGCCATGCATCCCCTTCAAACATTTTACTTCCCAGGCCCACTCGAGACCATGGTTTGGATCTGTTCATATGGGATCATTTGCCGGTCGCAAACATGGGGGGTATCTATAGCATTCTATAGCATTACATTACAGCAGCAACATCATCCAGGAATGCGAATTTTCTGAAACCATATCTGAAACACTGGACTGAATATCGCGTTGATTCAGTTTGCCAACGGTTAAAACCGTATATAGTTGAAACTCTGATTTTCCCATATATTTTCATATTTTCCCCATATTTGTTCCTGATGAATCCAGGTCAATCCCCCATTGTTCTGGGACGTCATTGGCCCAAGGCTTCAGAACCTTTGCGCTGGGAAGCCGCCAACAGAGCAGTGGAACTCTCGCCACAAGGAAACGGCTCCAGTTTCGGTGAAACGGTGAATCCTCCGCTGCCATGGGTGGGCCATGGATGGCCACGGTAAGCCCTAAGATTTGGGTACATTTCATGGATTAGTCGCAAAAACTAACCGGTTAGCTAGATCCATGGGAAAGATGGCGATGTAAGCCACACAACTTGGGATTTCACTCTGAAGAAATTGGCATTTCAGGAGCTCAAAATCGAGGATGTGAAGCAATGTCTGTGGGACCCCCAAATTCATGGAAAGACCTCAGGTCAGCATGACAGCCAGGCCTCGCGAATGTGGCATGGGCATGCGCACTGCAGGTGCCGGACTGGTTCTTAGCCATGACGTCTATGGCCAATGATGGGTCCGTGGAATGCCCCGGGAAAAAGTGACCAATTCTGCTTCATGCTGGATGAATTTATGGACTTTTCTGGACCTCTGAATGGGTCAACCTAGGGTAAAGAGCATCCTTATAGTGATCCTTATAGCACTTTCTCAAGTGGGATCATCTTCAACGAAAAAACATGTATACTCGAAATATACTTGTTCACCGAGACATCTTGAGACAGGGTTTACACAGAAAATCCCTACTGTAGTGGCATAGTGAATAGTTGGTGCGAGCCTATTCTCCCGCAAAGTCCAGAGGATGGTTGGAGATTGGACCTGGTGTAGACTTGGAAATGTGGGTCTTCACTGGGCTTAGTTGGGCCTTAAATTGGCACATTGGCACTGCGTCAAAATTTAGGACCAGGTGACTGCTGATTCTGTTCTGCTTTTGAGTATGAACTCCATCCACTTGTCCAATTCGGGGGGTGATGATTCATCATAATTGGACAATACCCCACTGAGATTTGTCAAATGTGTCAATTTGGGTCATATTACCCTACTTACTAAACTTTGGCAAGTACTACCCCACTTCCCAAATTTTCACCAAGATGACCATGATCATCACACCGGAAGCCTCCGATGAGTCAGGCCTGGGATGCCTGGGCCACAGCTGGTTTTCTGGCAGCTGTGAAGTCCCATTTGAAGGACTTCTCTCCGCAGGCCAGGCGGCCAGGCTCTGATGTTGGGAGATGTTGGGAGGACCCCAAAGAGATTGAAAAATCAGCCGCTCAGCTGGTTAAATGCTGGTTAAATACTGGTTAAATGATGATAAACTTTTCAGGTCTTTTCGGGATTAATGGTCACATTTTGAATGTTGACGCATGAGATAAACAAGATGAACCATACCTTGTTTTTGAGAATGGAGATCGAGAATATGTGTGCCATGGTCAAAGCAATGGTGTGTTTTGCCACAGAAGGGGATGGTCATACCCATTAATAGAGTTTTATATACCCATTGTAATGATTCCCAATATAGGATGTATGACCATAGCCCATATACCATGTTTTGACGATGGCACATGTGATTTGCAGGGATATGAGGTTCACCGTTGAATTTTGGATCATTTTAGTAGTCAACTCAGTTCCCAAGGCAAATATGCGTCTGAAAATAGGTTACCCATATGTATATAAATCCATTAACATTAACATTACCATTTTTGTGGTATGCCAGATTTTCAGAATAGGATTCTAGCCAGATATGATTATAAATGATAATTGGATATTGTGGTTACCCCCAGGCCGGGGGTGCCGCCCAGAGGTTTATCATGTGACCAACTCTTTAGGGTTTGTTTAGGGCTTATTTAGGGTTTCTTTTAGGCTATTTATTTAGGTTGTTTCTTGATTTTTACCATGGTTTCGAAAATATTTTCCTTTAAAGGCTTACTTCCGGAGTTATGTTCGATTTAGCTTTTAGGGTTTTGTGTTTCGGAAACAATCTTGTCGGCCATTTGGGCAATCCGCCGTCATCCCAAACTCCATAAAAGACTGACCCTGCACGGTCAAAACACACTTCCCCAGGCAACACCCCGTCCTGGGTTCTATCTATCTAATTATCTATCTATCTATCTATCTGTCTGTCTGTCTGTCTATCTGCCTATCTAAAAGATTATCTACTCGTACCTAGGCTGGTCAAGTCTCGTCTACTCTAATGTACTTCTTTATCTAATCTAATCCAATCTAATGTTGAATCTTTCAATCTGAATCTATGAAATTTATATAATCTGATCTAATCTATTTAATCTATATCTAATCTCTCGAATCTCTCTATATAAGCTATCTATATAATCTAATCTACTGTATCTCATTTATACTTATATCCCATGCTTTGGCGATCCCGACGAAGGGCCTGGTGAATCTCGCATGGTCGTGGACGGAGATGGAGGCACGACATTGCCAACTGATGGATATTTAATTGGCTTCAACTGCAGCTGCTTTCTCCAGTGGCAAATAATATTAAATATATGTTTGTGGAATGACATCCCACGCAACTAGAGAAGCTGGGAATCCACCAGCCAGCTGAGTAGTTGGAGTTCTTGAATCCTCAGTTTGGGGAACAACAAAGCGACCGAGGGGTGGATGTTTAAAGGTGAACCGACACCCCAGAAGTTCATCTAAGATGATTGGATGTAATGATGATGTATTGATGTCTTCTATATGGACACAAGGAAATTGAGGCTCTGTCGGACCTGTGGGAATAGAGGTTCCTTGGTTTGGGAGGACTCTCATTGCTGGGAATGCAGGTGCATCCTGGAGAGGAAGGTGCGGAAGCCAGGGAGGAACTCCACACGTCAATGGTCTTCTGGGGCGACCAACCCAGTGTCCCCATGGATGAAATCCCCATGGTCAATCCTCCCATTCCTGTTCAACAAATACACATCGTTTGGTGAATATTTATAGTAATGTAATGCAATGTGTGTATAATATGTGATTATATTAAATTATATCATGTATATTATGTATATTATGTATATTATGTATATTATGTATATTATGTATATACATGTAACATATACCTATAATATTTGTAATGATTTGTTTTTGCTGCTAGACTGGGCCTGCCATAAAGCTGCCTGTCAGATCCCATCGATGAACTCCGACAGGTGCCCTTCGAAAGATCTTGCTGATGGCTGTCGAACGAGCCGAAGAACTGAAGGTCGGGGACCTTGATGCGCCGTGGTGCAACGCGACACGACTGTTGGTTTTCACAGATGGATGGAATGAAGAATATATGGATAGGATGGGATTGATGGGAACTGACATACCATACCTTCCAGTTTTGAAGATGGAATACTGCTTTTCAGTGCTTAAATCAGCATGTTTTTTGGGTGAACGCACCGTTTTCTTCGGCTTGTAGCACCACCAGGCCATGGAGTTCTCAAGTCTCCTCTGTAGCTTGGCCAAGAGCCGCCGAGCCGAAGAAGCGGCCGCGCTGCTGCGGCACTTGCAGCGCTTGGAGGAGCCGATGGGAGATGAAATGAAGTGAAATGAAAAAAAGTGAATCCTTCTAATTATGATGTATTATTATATAGCAGTTTATGATTTTATCATCTACGTTTTGGGTATCTTATATTTATATAACATATATATATATATATGTAATCCTCCCGGCAATATCCCATACAAAGCAAAGAGCTCGGGCTCCTAAAACAACCAAGTTTTGTACAAGCACTTTTCTCTACAAAGCTTGGATCTCATGCTCTGACATTGATGCTAAAGTAACTGGTGTTTTTCAACATAAATGAATCCTATAACTTTGTAGAGGGGTGTTTTTGAGCCTGATGTGAAAATGTGTAAAAATATAATTACCTTACTTCGAGCTATCCCCACAATGACGTCTATATTGTTTTGTTACTGGCAAATCTGCTGGCATTCTATCTGACATATCTTCTGGCATTTTATTTGGGGCATTCTATCTGGCACATCTTCTGGCATTCTACCTGGCATATCTTCTGCAATATGTTCTGGCAAACATTCTGGCACTTTATCTGGCATACCTTCTGGCAATCTATCTGACATTCTATCTGGCATACCTTCTGGCATTCTATTTGGCATATCTTCTGGCATTTTATCTGGCATATCTTCTGGCATTCTATCTGGCATATCTTCTGGCATTCTATCTGGCATATGTTCTGGCAAACATTCTGGCACTTTATCTGGCATACCTTCTGGCATTCTATCTGACATTCTATCTGGCATACCTTCTGGCATATCTTCTGGCATTCTTTCTGACATTCTATCTGGCAAACATTCTGGCACTTTATCTGGCATATCTTCTGGCATTCTTTCTGACATTCTATCTGGCGTTCTATCTGGCATATCTTCTGGCATACTGAGCTCGGAGGGTCCCAGGTTGAGGTCCAGCGGTGCTCACTGAGCTCGGACGGTCCCAGGTTGAGGTCCAGCGGTGCTCACTGAGGTTGGAAGGTCCCAGGTTGAGGTCCAGCGGTGCCCAGTGCGCTCAGACCCTTGCAGTTGAGGTCCAGCAGTGCCGACTGCGTGCGGAAGTTGGCGAAGAGCTTGGCGAAGAGTTGGCAAGGCGGAAGTGGACATGGAAATGGAGGCAGAGGTGGTGGAGGAGAAGGAGGAGGAGGAGAAGAAGAAGAAGGAGGAGGAGGAGGAGACGAACAATTCTGATAAAATCTAACAACCCTCACCTGGCAGGTGGGGAATAACTTATATCCAGCTTTGTAGAGCCAGACCCTTCTGATTTTCAATCATTTTCAACTGTGTAACCCAAAGAGATTTCATATCTTCACCGTTTGAAATTTGTAGTGGGAGTGGGTTTGTCTGCAGGAGTGAACAGGTTGAGGTTTGTAAGGTGTAAACTTGTCCTTGTTCTGTAGGTTTGAACTTTGTAACTGCCTGTCACCGTTGCTGTTTTTTCTGCTGTGAGATAAGATTTGTCTCAATGATTTGATGAGAGTTTGTGATATTATGACATATATTATTACTATGAATGAATGACATGAATGAATGAATGAATGAATGAAATGAATGAATGAATGAATGAAATGAAATGAAATGAAATGAAAGGAATGAATGAATGAATGAATGAATGAAATTGATGAAATGAATGAATGAATGAATGAATGAATGAAATGAATGAATGAATGAATGAAATGAATGAATGAATGAAATAATGAATGAATGAATGAATGAATGAATGAATGAATGAATGAATGAATGGAATGAATGAATGAATGAATGAATGAATGAATGAAATGAATGAATGAATGAATGAAAGGAATGAATGAATGAATGAATGAAATGAATGAATGAATGAATGAATGAAATGAATGAATGAATGAATGATTGAATGAATGAATGAATGAAATGAATGAATGAATGAAATGAATGAAATGAATGAATGAATGAAGGGATGAAATGAAGGGATGAAATGAATGAATGAAGGGATGAAATGAATGAATGAATGAATGAATGAATGAATGAATGAATGAAATGAATGAATGAATGAATGAATGAAAGGAATGAATGAATGAATGAATGAATGAATGAAATGAATGAATGAATGAATGAAATGAATGAATGAATGAATGAATGAATGAATGAATGAATGAAATGGATGAAATGAATGAATGAATGAAATGAAATGAAATGAAATGAATGAATGAATGAAATGAAATGAAATGAATGAATGAATGAAATGAAATGAAATGAAATGAAATGAATGAATGAATGAATGACATGACATGAAATGAAATGAAATGAAATGAAATGAAATGAAATGAATGAATGAAATGAAATGAAATGAAATGAAATGAAATAAATGAATGAATGAATGAATGAA